GCCTGGAGTGGAGAGCACCCCCCCCGCCAGGTGCGAGGGCCGAGGTTTTGGGGGGCGTCTCTGGGACTCTGGGCCCTCTCTGGACCTCTGGGTGCCCCTGCAGGCGACTCCAGGAGCCCCTGGGGAGCTCTGGAGGCCCCTGGCACCGCTGTGCCCTCTTTTCTCCTCGACTCATCTTCCTGGGCGGGAGAGGAGGTGAGCGAAGAGGGAGGGAGGGAAAGGGGAGGACGGAGGAGGGAGGGAGGGAGGTTGGAGGGGAGGGAGGAATGGAGGGATGTGTAGGAGGGGGAGGAAGAGGAGGAGGGGCAACAGCAGCAGCAGCAGCAGCAGCAGCAGCAGCAGCAGCAGCAGCAGCAGCAGCAGCAGCAGCAGCAGCAGCAGCAGCAGCAGCAGCAGCAGCAGTAGCAGCAGCAGCATGGAGCAGAAGGGAAGGAGGAATCGATGGAGGGCGTGGGGGCGAATCGACGTCGTCGTGCTCTGAGGCCCAAAGTCTTGGCTCCACGCACCAGGCGGCACAGTGGGCGGTGGCCCAGAGTGCGGAGCGCCTGTCGACGTTCCTGCGGTGGCTTGCTGAGAAGGTGCGGGAAGCCGCTGCGTCCCTGGACCCATGGCTGGGTGGCGCCGAGCGCGTCGCCGACCACGCGAGGTTCCTGCAGCTGGCTGGGCGGCACATCCGGGGCCGAGAAACCCAGGGGGGGGCATCTTCCCACATACACGCATGCTCGCGCGCTCGCGCGCAGAACCGTACGCAGACACATACGGACACGCACGCGAGTACGCGCACGCAAAAGCACCCGCGCACACGCGCACGCTTTGTGGCGTCGCGGCCGCGCGCGCAGGGACGCCGCGCAGCTGGTCGGCAGTGTGCCCGAAGCGTGTGCGGCCGGGGCCTCGGGAGAGCGGCCAGGGTCTCTCGCTAGTTCGCCAGGCGGGGGGCCCGCCGGCCCGCCCCTAGGGAGCCACGCCGCGCGGGCGTCTCTCGAGGAGGCAGCCGAGGAAGGGGGGTGAGCGGGGTGAGGGTGCCGTCCTGGATGGCACGCCAGAGGGGCGGGTGGAGCAGGACGCGGCCGACGAGACAGCGGTGGCCCGCGGAGGGGGTGGGCCGCAGTGGCCCGCGGTGCGGCCAGCAGCCGGGGCGCATCATGGGGGCGAGGAGCAGGGGCCGGTGGGGCGCCACGGGAAGCGGCGAGCAGGCCGCTCGCTTTGGTGTGGCCCCCTCGCGCCCCCCAAAAGCTGTCGGGGGTGGACAGAAACCCCAACAGTGACACGTCGATTAGTGAATTGTCCGTCTTCGGTTCTCGAGAAGGCGCCGTGGCCGTTATTTTCCAGGCTTGCGCCCGCCAGGTTTGGGCCTCAGGTCGTTTTCACTAAACCACGTTTTGCTAAAGGGGGGTCTGTCCATCCCCGAAGCTGCGCACCAAGGGTGGTCACACTCCCGCGTGCAGCCGAGAGAGGGGAGGAGCGGCAGCAGGCCGCGCCCGGGCGCCGAGGCCCCCGCGGGCAGGGCGGAGGGGCGGGGGGCATCCGCAGAGGCGGCCGGTGGGGCCGGCAGGCGGTGCGAGGAGGGCAGTGAGGCAGCGACAGCCAGGGGCAGCAGCGGCCGCAGCGGGCGGCCGGGGCCGCGGGAGGGGCGGTGCCAGCGGGGAGCGCGCCACGCTCCAGCTGGAGTCCAGCGCGGCGTCGGCCCTGGCACCAAGGGGAGGCCCCCAGAGCGGTGCGCGCGCGGGCCGCGCTGCGGTGCGTGCGCGAGAGGCGTGCTGTCTCCCGGCGCCGCCTGCCAGGAGCGTTGCGCGCGGGGAGGCAGGTGGGAGCCGGGAGCCCCTTCCACGAGCTGGGCTCAGGGGCAGGAGGGCAACCCGACAGGTCACCGTGGCCAGGTCAGGCCAGCGAGGACGCTACGGCAGGTCGGCCTAGAGCGGTGCAGTTCCCTCCCGGGGGGGCCCCGCGGGGCTACTCGTGGGAGTGGGGGCGCTTGGTCGCGGGAGGCGGCTGGGACATGTGCAACGTCGCGGTCAGAGATGCAATCCAAGAGTACCCCGAGAGAACCCACCGAGTGGTGCTTGGGTCCATGGCCCCGTGGACCGCTCTGCGGCGAGAGCGTGCAGTCGAAGAGGCGTGCACCTCGGTCCGATAGGGCGCGCCTGATGCGAGCGGTGAGGGCTGGGGCTCGGGCGCGGTGGCTGGGCCGCCGGAGCGCGCCCGCCGCCGCGGCAGTGCCCTCGCGCGAGCGGGGCTGGGGAGGCCAGGCGGGCGCGGGGGCCAGTGCGCCAGCGGGGAGGCCGCAGCGGCGGCAGGAGCGGAGGCGCGGCGGGGGGGTCTCGGTCGGGGGTGGTCTGCCCACTCCATGGTGGGCTCCGGCTTCTGCCTGTACTTGCACCTCGGAGCGCCCGCGACTGAACGCGGCTCCTCCTCCTCCTGCTCCTCCTCCTCCTCCTCCTCCTCCTGCTCCCTCCTCCTCCTCCTCCTGCTCCCTCCTCTCCTCCTCCTCCTCCTCCTCCTCCTCCTCGCTCCCCCTCCTCCTCCTCCTCCTCCTCCTCCTCCTCCTCCTCCTCCTCCTCCTCCTCCTCCTCCTCCTCCTCCTCCAGCCCTGCACCGCGGGCAGCACCCTGGCGCCCGTGGTGGGGCGCCCGTGCCTGCCGCGGGGGCGGGGGTCCCGATGGGGGCTGCGTGGAGCCCGCTGCCACGGGGCAGGGCTCCTTTCGATCCTTCGAGGCCGATCTGATTCCACTTTGGTGGCTCCCGATCCCGAGTCGATTCGGCATCGGATTGCGATGTGGATGTCGACGTCTCGGCGGAGCCCTTACTGGCCTGCGGATGTCCGCCGGCTCGGCTCCTCTCCCGCCCTGGCTGCCGAGTTCTTCCGATTCGTTATTTCATCTCGATCGCCGATCCGACTGCTCGATTCGACTCAGGCTCTCCTGGAGGGGGGGGGGCCTTTGGGCGCGGGCGCACACACTGGAAGGGGCCTCTCGAGCTTTCGTCGGGCCTGCGCAGTGTCCAATAAGCGCAAGAACGCAGCTGAGCACAGGAGGGCGTGCAGGCAGCTGCGGAGCTCGGACATGCGGGAGCCAGGTGCGGACGACGCTGCAAGGTGGGGGGGGGGGCCGCGAGCGGCCCCCCTCCTCCGGCCGTGGGTGGGGCTCCTGGCGCGGCCGGAGGCCACTGGCGGCAGGGGAGGCGCTCCGCGGGGGAGCTGTCCACTGAAGCCTTGGGTCGGGCATGTCCTCCTGCGGTCGCATGTGCGAGGGAAGCGAAGCAGAGTCAGAACGTCGTCGACGCTAGCCCAAAAAGCCGTCGAGGAGTCGTCCCCAGACGACGCCTGGCCGCCTGGACTATTTCCGAGCATGCCTCCTGCAGAGGGACGTGCCCGACTTCGCGGACGCCGTGCCCGGGGCGGGGGATGGAGGGGGGGCCCTAACTGGGGCGCCCACAGGGCGGGCCGCGGCCACGAGCAAAAAGCAGCACCGGGCGCCTGGCCGCCCCGGTGTTCTGCTGGCGTGCCCACGGCCTCCGGCCAACAAACAACAGTGGGGGGAACGACGAGCTCGTGGGGAAAACAAAGCCCGAGTGGTGATGGCGATACCCTTGAGGGGAGAATGAAACCTTGCCAGGGAAACTGGTACCCCAGTAGAGGTAACGAGACAAGGGCGGAGGACACGTGACCGTAGGGCAGGAACCCAAACTAGGACGGACCCGCCCCCAGCGGGAGGCCAAGCGGGCCCGTGCCCTCAGAGGTCCCGCCGTCCCAGGCAGGCACAGCTGCCCGCAAGGCCACAGGCTGCGGATGCCGGGGATGCAGCGGCGTGTCGGATGGTCCCCGCTCCACGGGGGGCCCTCCTGGGCTCCGAAGCCTCGCGCACAGACATAGTGCATCTCTCTCTCTCTCTATATATATATATAGTAGCGCCATCGCCACGCGTGAGATCGAGATGGCAACTTCATGCGCACGCGTAGTCCACACGCATCTAACATGGACGCAGGTGTGCACCTGATGTGTGCGTGCGGGTTTCTCGGCCCCGGCGTCGGGCGCTTCTCCTCCTACATGCAGGGTGCCCTTGGCCCGACGGAGCCCACGCGGGCAGCCTCCATGCGGGGAGGGAATCCTGCCAGCAGCCTCCCTTCGCGGCCTCTGTGCACGCCTCCGCGCACTCGTCCCTCCACACCGGGACTGCTGGCCGGAGTGGGAGTGATGCGGTGGATCGGGGGGTGTTTCCAGAGAGAAAGAGAGTCAGAGGCGACGATAGGGGCGCATTGCCCAGGGGAGAGCAACACATGTATTCAGGTGCACCGATGATCTATGTCTTCGAAGAGGCTCCCGGGCGAATGCGTGTAATGCCCGCCCCTGGGCTATTCGCCTCTATCGTCGCCGCCGAGAGAGAAAGAGAGAGAGAGAGAGAACAAGAAAGAGAGAGAGAGAGAGAAAAAAAAGAGAAATAGAAAGCAGAGCACTCCAGAACGATGTGAGGAAGAGGTGTCCCACCTTCATCGGGCCCGCTTCGTACGCCTTTTCCCGTCCCGTCCGTTCGCCCTCTCCTCCCTTCTCTCTCCCCTCCCCTGCCCTGGGCTTCCCCCTTCCTCCTAGTTCTTCGATGCGGAGATCCTCATATCCAGGAGGGGAAAAACACACACAGGCACAATTAATCGTCGATTCCCAGGAAAAGATGGGAAAATATGGGAAGTGGGGGGAAGACAAAAACCAAGAAAATATGGGGAAATATGGGGAATCCTTTTATTTGTGTGTATTTATTTGTGTGTCCCAGGGCCCCTTCACACATGGGCATCTCATCTGCTCATTTTCCGGCGCTTGCCTCTGCGAGGTGCCAGTGCGGTAGCTGGCTCCCCCAGTGAGCCCCTGTGCTGCGAGTTTACGTGTGGAGCCTCTCCACTGGTGGCTGCGTGAGGGTCCGGCGCACATTCGCCCTGACACTGCCTGACTCCGCCGCGTCGCTGCGCGCGCGGCCGCGACGCCAAAAAGTCGGTGCGCGATCGGGCCTGAACGT